GCAACCCGCCTAAGCAAACCCCAAGCCCACCCTGTTTGAGACTCGCAGGCCTCAGCCTATCTAGCGCCGAGACTGGGCCTTGCCAGCCTGGGCTCAACTAGCGTCTAGCCTAGCCCAGTCCGCCTGCTGGCCAGGCCTGTCTGACGTGTCTGAAACTGGCCTCAGGCCCATCTGACTTGTCTGGAGCCAGCTTCAGGCCCAGCCCAACCAGCAACCCGCGCGAGCAAGCCACAGCCCAGCCCACCCAAGACTGGCTTCAGGCCAGCCCAACCAGCCACCCGCCCTAGCAAGGCCCAGCCCAGCCCGCCCTGCCCAGGCCCCAGGCGCAGGCCTGCCCCAACCAGCAGCCTGGTCCGGCGCATGGCATCAATTGGCCCAACGTGCCCCAGCCCTTCACTCCGGCTGCCCAAGCAGCGCAGCGAACTGGTGCGGTCACAAGCTTTCAGTAGGATTCGGACCTTCCCAACACTGGATTTCGGTGTTCCTGACCCTTCCCTCAAACTAGGCTGGGCCGAGGCGGGCAGCGCGAAGCGTTTACAATAACTATCCCCACAAACACAGCCAATGTCCTCTAGAGACAATCCTCCAGAGACATCCAATAAGATATCTTGCGAGACATGGCCAAAAGACGTGCACAAAAAATCCCAGCAAACCCTGGAATATCCTAAAGACTCAAGCAACGGCGCTCCAAACAGGATCCTAAAAACATTCCCACATCTGCAAAATAATCCTCACAAAAGGCCCAAAACATTCCCAAATTCCTGAAAGCCACAAAAAGCCCACATTCCATACAAAGGCCATGCCAGGAAACTTGAAGCGCGTTCCTCTACAGTGACTGCCACGAATTGAAGTACTGCGCCTGTGAAATTGAACACTCGCAGCCGCGAACGCATCACATCGCACAAACAGGACGGTGCTCCACATTTCAAGCAAACAAAATAGACATCCCTGGAACGCAAATCGCGAGCCAGCGAGACCTCTCAAAACACGGTGCCACAGCAAAACGATGCTGTAAAAACCCTGTCAAAGCTGCAATTTAGATGCAGGCACAATGCAAGCAACACTTAGTCATTCCAAGTGCTCCGATGTCCGGCTCTCCATTGGCACCGCGAGCGCTTTACACTGCGCATAGGTCTTCTCCAACCCAAGACCGCAAACTGCAATCGTTAAAGGGGGAATCCTGCTTCACATCTAGAAACACGCACTTGCCATGAGCTCATCCTGAATTGAACCTTGGGAAATGCGGAGAAAAACAAGAAAGACCGTTGCCTTGGCATAGGTGTCCATAGCCTGCTTCAGCTGCTGAGTCTCATGGCTGGATTTGTCTTCGATGTGCGTGAGGCGCACGAAAATCTCAGAGACGTAGTGGTCAAAGAAGGCCTTCATCTCAGAGAGTATGTTGTGATTCATCGTGCCAATGGAACTCAGAATCTGCTGGTCACCTCTCTTCACTGCGTCTTCCACGCAAGCGAGATCGCAGTAAACTTTGGCCATGGTGTTCTGCAGTGGGTTGCAGTCAGCGAAGTCGCTCTCAATGAAGCGCTTGTTGCGGTAGTCTTGTGTAACCTCGAGCGCATACAAGGCGCCACCTTGTGCGTTGGCACCTATGGATTCACAAATGTCGCTGACTTCGTTCTTGGTGCCGGCATAGGCAGCTATGGCTCCAGCCAAGGTTATGACCCCAACAATGGAAGAGCAAATGGTCTTGTAAGCTGGCTCGAAGGCGTTCTCGAAGTAATCTGTTGCCATGTCAGTTTGCCTCTCCCAATTCGCCATCTTCCAGCCTCGATTGATGTCACGCGTGCTGCAGTCCCAAACTGCATCAGCGGTCAAGCCAGGAAAGGATGGATTGGCCTTGGACCATACCTCAGCGGAAACTTCATTTGCACGCTCGCACGCCCACCAGCTGAACCCGACTGTGCAAATGACACAAGGGCAACGTCAATCTCAGTCCGACCAAACCTCTCTGGGCCCAGTGTTCAAGCATCCCCACTTACGAGACGACGCTCAAACCGCGACAAAAAGCGACATTCCAGCCAACAACCGAAAAAAAAAATGAAAAAAAATAAATCCCACAACAAAAAGCAACCATCACCGACTAACTCGTAAGGAAAGAAAATGAAAAGAGAATGAAAAGGAAATGGAAAGGAAATGGAAAGGAAAAAGGAAAGTGCAAAAAACATGGAAAGGACATGGAAAGGGAAATGGAAAGGAAATAGAAAGGAAATGGAAAGGAAAAAAAAGGCAATGAAAAGGAAATTGAAAGGAAATGGAAAGGACATGGAAAGGAAATGGGAAGGAAGTGGAAAGGAAATGGAAAGGAAATTGAAAGGACATGGAAAGGACATGGAAAGGAAATGGAAAGGAAATGGAATGAAGTGGAAAGGAAATGGTAAGGAAATGGAAAGGACATGGAAAGGAAATGGGAAGGAAATGGAAAGGAAGTAGAAAGGAAGTGGAAAGGCAATGGCAAGAAAATTGACAGGAAAAGAAAAGCACATGGAAAGGACACGGAAAAGAAATGTAAAGGAAATGGAAAGGAAGGATTCCATTTCATTTCCATTTCCTTTCCGTTTCCTCCCCGTTTCCTTTCCAGTTCCTGTCCAATTCCTTTCCGTTTCCTTTCCGTGTCTCCAAACCAAAAGATCTGGCCCCTTCGTTCCACTTCCTTTCCATTTCCTTTCTACTTCCTTTCCATTTCCTTACCATTTCCTTTCCATGTCCTTTCCATTTCCTTTCCATTTCCTTTCCATTTCCTTTCCATTTCCTTTCCATTTCCTTCCATGTCCAATCCATTTCCATTCCTGTCCATTTCCTTTCCATTTCCATTCCATTTCTTTTCCATTTCCTTTCCATTTCCTTTGCATTTCGTTTTTATTTTTGTTTCCACTTCCTTTCCACTTCCTTTCCATTTCCTTTCCATTTCCTTTCCATGTCCGTTAGTCGCTGTTTTGTTTAAGTTGTTGTTTTCTTAGTTGTTGATTGTGTTTCTTTGTTGTTGATTGTCTTTTTTAGTTGTTGATTGAGCGCCACCTTTTCACATATTAGAGGCAATTGGTAGTTAGTGCCAGGAGCGAACCCTCGGATGATGGATTTGTGACGGACACGCAAGTAGTGTATGAGAATTAGCAAAGAACTTGGAGCAGCGTCCCGTTGCATATTTCATGTAGAGCGAACCGGCGAGCTGTCAGTTGTGAAAGCGGCATTGCGTGAGTTGTCCTCGCATATTTGAGCACAAGTTGCATGTCTTCACGGCGAATTCCAAGTCACAAGTATTGATCTCCCCCTCCAAAAACACAGTTCAGTTGGATGTTGTTTCTTCAGTCGCATTGTCGGGTTCGCATCTCAAGCTGTGCGCAATGGGTCGGGTTCGCTATGGTTTCCTGGACACTGGTGGCGTTTACCTGACATACAACTGCTCACCGGTGTCCAATCTGCAGCATCCATCTCGGTAGTAAGCTATCAACTGTGTCAACAGTTGCACTGAGATCGTTGATGTCGCACCTGGTTTAATACTGGTACCCGGATTTATGTCAAGTTTTCTCGGCTTAAACACGACCCCCCCCCCCAACTGTTTCGGTACCATGATTTATGTCAAGTTCAAACTCCCAAACGCAAGAAACCTGAGCAAAGAACACTGTTGGCTGATTCCTCCTCTCAGCTTCATGGCTCAATTCCAGAGTCAAAGATCAACATCCTTCACTTAAATCCATCCAAAAACACTCCCAAAACAGTTCTGCAAAGGGGGTTGCCCATAAGGGGCCCTGATCATCTTTAAAAGGCACTACTGTATCTGGGTACCACATTTGATGTGTGGGTGGGAAATCTGAAAGGAAGTCCGGGCAATACTATATAAGTTATATAAGTTTAAACTAGGCCATACTACAGTAAGCACTGGGAATCCAAAAGGAAGTCTTGCCAATACTAAATTAGACTGGGCAATACTGCATCAAGTGCTGGGAATCAAAAAAGTAGGTCCTGGCAATACTAAATTCAAACTAGGCAATACTAAACGACGCACTGAGAATCTGAGAGTAAGTCCTGGCAATAATGCACTTAGACTACGCAATACTAAACTAAGCTCTGGCAATTCAACAGGAAGTGCTGGCAACACTAAACTGAGTAGTGGCAATACTAAAGCAATACTTAAGTCACCCAAGCTCCCTCCCAGACCTAAATTCCGGATCCCCGAGCACTGTTTTGACTGTTGAGGGGGGGGTGGGGGCAGCAAATCAAACAAGGTCCAACATTTAGCTGCTTCGCTATTATGTTCATTTGCAAATTGCGGTGGCAAGGCGTGCATCGACACTATCCAAGTTGCGTGTGGCTCTTGCCAATCCGTGTTCTTCTTTCCTGGTACCCCGTCTTCTCCCCAAGTTTCCACTGCCGCGGCGCCAGTGCTGTCCACTCCGAGAGCATGATAGCAAGCACCCACAACGTCTTTCTGCTTCTCCTGATTGCTGAGGTAGTGCTCGCCCTCAACAGGCTCAGCACCAATGATCTTTTCCCGACTCTCACGTGCCAGGCAGTGAGGAGCGTAGCTCACAGGCTCTGGCGACCAGTTCAAGACGGTCTCTGTGACGCTGCGCCTCTCCAACTCCTTCCTCTCGCCTTCGAAAGGCTTGAACTCCGCCTCCTCAAACTTTGCCATCTCAAACTTGGCCTTCGGGATCTTTGGCAGCTTCTTGAACTTTTTATTGCCCAAGCCGCCGTTGCTTCCGGCCCGGGATTTGGCCCCCTGCCCCTGACCCAAAAGGCTTTGGTCCATCTGATCACGCCCGACCTCCACTGCCCCATTGCCCGTAAAGGCGGTGGTCATTGGCTCCAAAGGCGTGTAATCCACACCCTCTTGCAGCCCCGCACCCAACTCCAGCGGATGTGCAGCGACAGAAGAGGAGCACAAAGGTGCAAAAGACTTCGACTTCGACTTCAAGCACCACGCGCCTGAAAGCCGATCAAAGGACACCTTCATGGCATCGGGGTCAATCTTGGTCCAACAATCCGAGACGCTCCAATCAGCTCGTCCGCAAGAGGTACTCTTCCTATAGTAACATTTGTTTCCTGTCCACTGAAAACCGGCACACTCGGTATGAGCTGCGCAAACTTTGCCGCAGATTGCCTCAGCCAAGCCCCTGGGCGCATAGTCCCATCCTCAGATCATATTGCAAAGAGTCCTGAAACCGGTCAAGGCCCTAATGCAGGCAAAGTCTCGCTCGCCATTGGCCCCACAATAGGCCTGACCGTCTAGGGAACCGCACCAACCGCACGATTTGCCCGGCTCCAAGGTGAATGGGAGGCTCCAGTCCTGGCAAGCTGTTGCGGGCGCTCAAAGAGCACAGCACTATGCTCGACGACGTGTACACACACACACACACATTGTGGCTTGAATGGTCGGTGTTAGCTAACACGCGCTGCCATGCAACCCCTGTTCCATTTGCTGCTTATTCCTTTACATGTCTTTTCCGTTCATGTCCAAGTGCCTTCCATGTACAAAAACCAGTTCCTTGCATGCCTCTTTTGTGTCCTTATACAAATTATTCTTACTTTCCAAACCTTTGGCAGAGCCGCCAAACTGCCAAGTTTCTCCCAATCGCTGAGCAGCGATTGAAAGCCACGCCAAGCATAAACCCGTCCCCGAGTCCCCAACTGCAACCGGAACCCTGCGAAAACCCGAGCTCCGCTCGCGCTGCAAATCCCGAACTCGGAGCCTAATCGTACCCATGAAACTTTCGACACGCTGCGCCAGCGCCTCCCGGAGCCCAATCCAGCAACATGGAAATAAATATCCGGCGGATCCAAAACCGAGCCAACCCCGGAACCTTGACCAGCCACTCCATTGGAACCCAAAAAACACCAGTGTTCACACTCTTATCCTACACTAAAATGTGTTGAATTCCAAGCGGCGGTCTTCTTAGAAGTTGTGTGCTCTAGTTGGGGCCTCAAAATGAAATCCTCCTCAGTGGCCATTGTGTAAGCATGCGCGCCTGAGAGCTCATAAGCATGCAGCATGGGCAAGCCAGCAAACAAGAAAGCAGGACGGCAGGAAAACAAGCAGGGAGGCAAGCAGGGAAGGAAAGAGCAAGGAAGAACAGGCAAACAAGCAGGAGCGAAAGAAACATAACAGCTAGCCACATGAAACCACCTCGGCCTTGCGCTTGGGAAACGCTTGCGCGGAACTTGCAGGAAATGTCACGAGTCAAAACGGCAAAAAAGGTGCATGTCTTTTGGAGCAACCAACAACAACCCCCCCACGTAGATTCAAACACACTGATGCTGGCACTGCTGCTTCGAGCCACCGTGAACACTGCAGTTTTGACTTGCGCGAAGACTTTCCGAAACCCTGAAATCCCCGAACACATTGAAAGTTTGCCCCGTTTTTTTGACTCAGGTGTTAGGGACAAGCGCAAACTGGCATGTGAGAACTGCCCGCGTATTGCGCGTGTGAATCATGGCCAGTCCAGGCCGGGCCGCCCACACAAACACAAACACACCCACAAACACACACAAATACACACGGACAATCACACATACAGACGCGCACACACAGCCTGACATAGATACACACGCACACACAGACGCAGACACCGACAAAACCACAAATACAAACGCAACCACACATACAAGCACAAACACAAACGCAAACACACAAACACCATCACAACTAGATCACAACCACACACACACACCGACACACAAAAACGCACACACACAAACACACAAACAACCGCACACACAAACACACACACAGACACACAGACACACAGACACACAGACACACAGACACACAGACACACAGACACACAGACACACAGACACACAGACACACAGACACACAGACACACAGACACACAGACACACAGACACACAGACACACAGACACACAGACACACAGACACACAGACACACAGACACACAGACACACAGACACACAGACACACAGACACACAGACACACAGACACACAGACACACAGACACACAGACACACAGACACACAGACACACAGACACACAGACACACAGACACACAGACACACAGACACACAGACAGACACACAGACACACAGACACACAGACACACAGACACACAGACACACAGACACACAGACACACAGACACACAGACACACAGACACACAGACACACAGACACACAGACACACAGACACACAGACACACAGACACACAGACACACAGACACACAGACACACAGACACACAGACACACAGACACACAGACACACAGACACACAGACACACAGACACACAGACACACACACACAGACACACAGACACACAGACACACAGACACACAGACACACAGACACACAGACACACAGACACACAGACACACAGACACACAGACACACAGACACACAGACACACAGACACACAGACACACAGACACACAGACACACAGACACACAGACACACAGACACACAGACACACAGACACACAGACACACAGACACACAGACACACAGACACACAGACACACAGACACACAGACATACAGACACACAGACACACAGACACACAGACACACAGACACACAGACACACAGACACACAGACACACAGACACACAGACACACAGACACACAGACACACAGACACACAGACACACAGACACACAGACACACAGACACACAGACACACAGACACACAGACACACCGACACACAGACACACAGACACACAGACACACAGACACACAGACACACAGACACACAGACACACAGACACACAGACACACAGACACACAGACACACAGACACACAGACACACAGACACACAGACACACAGACACACAGACACACAGACACACAGACACACAGACACACAGACACACAGACACACAGACACACAGACACACAGACACACAGACACACAGACACACAGACACACAGACACACAGACACACAGACACACAGACACACAGACACACAGACACACAGACACACAGACACACAGCACACAGACACACAGACACACAGACACACAGACACACAGACACACAGACACACAGACACACAGACACACAGACACACAGACACACAGACACACAGACACACAGACACACAGACACACAGACACACAGACACACAGACACACAGACACACAGACACACAGACACACAGACACACAGACACACAGACACACAGACACACAGACACACAGACACACAGACACACACTACACACAGACACACAGACACACAGACACACAGACACACAGACACACAGACACACAGACACACAGACACACAGACACACAGACACACAGACACACAGACACACAGACACACAGACACACAGACACACAGACACACAGACACACACACACACACACACACACACACACGCACACACACACACACACACTTAGACTCCAGATGGAGGTGCTAATCTTTCGAGTACAACTGGTAAGTCTCGGCTTGGATAAGGTTCTTCATGAATAAGTTTCGGCTCGCAATGCACTCGGCTTCCCTCGAGTGTCGAAAACGTTACCCGAAAGAACAAGAAGCACAAACAGCGCCGCAACCAAGGGGGCCAAAAAGACATTCAGCAACATCACTTTACACATGCAGGTACGCTGGGATGATCAGTCCTAGTATCACCACCGATGGCAAGTGTCTTCGTTGGGAGACTTGCCATGGTGCTCCTGCCCCCTGAAGTTGTATGGTGGCAGGGTATTCTGCCACTGCGCACACACACGCCCCTCAGTGAGGGGCGAAAATCTTTTGTTCCTGCCGGAAGATCACGCAATTGGCTCATCAATGCTAACGTCTACCAAAATATCCACTGCGTCTGGGAGAGCGCGAAACTGCACGCTCCGCACGAGGCCGCTCAGAAGACGGGGACGAAAGATCTCCAAGATGAGCAAGACGTGTGCCGCCATAGAAGACAGGCGGAAGCTGCAAAGCTGTCGGGCGATCACCGTCAGAAATGGGAGGGGCATAGGTGAACATCTCCTCAACCTGGATGTGGTCCGCGTGTTGTACACCAGCAAGTGATGGATCAGGGCCATGATGGGTGGAGAAGGACTCAAAGCGAGACAAAATCCGTTGATAACCTTGATGTTGCACCAGTTCCGTCAACATGCTCAGTCACCCGTTTCCACTCCCGAAACAAGTTCTCAGGTAGGCCGGGTACTGCCTCATTAGGGTGCCACAGTTGATGTTCCCGGAGTGTAGATCCGCACCCACTCCTGGTCCGCCAGACGGAATATTCGAGCCAAGGGTGCTGTTTGTCCGTGCTGGCCGACGTTTGAGCCACATCATCTGTGTCCATGCCGAGGTAAAGGACGGGGGTACCGCGGGCTCTGATCCAGCTATCGAGGAAACAGTCACAACGCACAACCATGCACAACCGACAAACACACAAGCAAGCAAGAGCAAAGATGACACTCTTTCATGTCATGATCAAGGTGGATCGGTTTATACGTCGCCGAGCTCGAAGATGGGCTGCGCCTTGGTGTTGGAGTTGCCTGATTGACCCGCAGTGGTATTTGGATCAGACACCAATAGATTCGGGTGGCGCGACTCCACGAGATACATGTGCTGGATGGTGGGACGCTTGCCGCGCGCGTTCTGACTGTTAGTTTTCTAATAGGCCGCCTGGCTTTGGAAATTGATAGCCTGATGGGGCTGAAGACCTTCAACTGATATTTTTTGGCAACGCCAAGAGCTCCTGAACAACAGCCATCTGGTCACACACAGCTAGATTGCAACCAACGCGCCTAGCATCCAAACAAATGCGCAAACGAAAGCTCATTTCTATCTGCCTGCGTGACGCCTGCATGCCAAGAAACTAGCAACACATCTTCCAGGATGCGTTCTGCAACTCCTTCAGAGCAACACATCTGCCAGGATGCGTTCTGCAACTCCTTCAAACTACTCTGTTGATACAGACAGCATCAAAATGTCTTGAGCCAAAACAAGCAAAACTAAAAAACACAAAACAACAAACACACGGTTGCTTGTTTCACCCCAATTCTTGGGCCACAAGCCAAAAAGGCTTAAACCGTTCTTTGTTGAGGGGTATAGTTGGTGTTAGGGCTTTGTTTGGGGTGTGTGTATCTGCAAGTCTGAGAGAAAAGGATATCTAACTCTTTGTGTGTATATATATATATGGGGGATTGCCTGTGTTTCACCCTAAACCCTAACATTTACTAGACACTGCAGGAAAAATCACTGAGCCCACAGCCAAAAAGGCTGAAAAGGGCGATGAGCAAACAGCCAGTTGCTTACCTCACCCTAAACCCTAAACATAAAATTCAGACCGGTTGTGAAACCACGTCATGCCATCAATTGAAATCAACACAACAACCCCCCTGGAACAAGAAAGCAACGGAGCACCGAGAACCTGATTCTCTGGATTTTTCGCACGCTGGACTGCTCATCGAGGTATCTGAATTTATGCCAATCTGGATTTGTACTGCGCTTCAAAATGCAGGTTCTCATTGCTCATTGTCTCAAACGGGTCCCTGCCTCTGCCACATGATGCTGTGGAAAAATTGGGGGCCAATCCTCTTCAGCCCACAGCGCACAGTGCAAACCACATGTGACAGTGACAGCCCTGAACTCCTGCCTACGAATGCACAATGCTGCACACTCACTGCACACTGCCTACGGACGAATGCACGCTTCCTACGGACGAATGCACACTTCCTACTTCCTACGGCCCAATGCACACGTCCTACTCCTGCACACTGCACACTTCCTAGTACTGCCTACGGCTGAATCCGAACGCCCATGGACGAATGCACAAATCAAAGGCATAAATGTCTGGCTGAAACAGTCACAGCACTCATATCGAAGCAGCAAGTCCGCATTCAAGTTCGGCCTTGCCGATGCCACAAAGTAAGTGTCCCAAGTGAGTGTCTCTGGGCTGCCTCTGCACAAGAGAAATGAAGGTCACATTGGCCATGCAATATGTTGAATTGTGGGAATCTTAAACACATCAAGGCAAAACACAACTCTCACTCAAAGCATGTCAAGAATTGTTGGCGGCCTTCTCAGGTTCATTTAAGATTTGGAGGCACACTCACATGCGCTTGGTATTTATTTGCACTGCCCAGGCTCTTTCAAGAAGGCACCCACACTTAAGGATCCATCAAGAAATGGCCTCGCAAGCAAATATGCTCACGGCGTGGCAAGGGAACCGGACCCTGCTGCATCTGGATCTGGCACAATCTCCTCCTCACCTTTGTCACTGTTGCCCGCTGCACCAGTGCCAGCATCTGCCAAAACATTTGGGTGTGACCAAAGAGCCTTGCACCAACCGCAAGCTTGTATCTGATTAATTGGATTTTTGAGCTGGCTGCATCCATTGCTAATGTGATACTGGAAGCGCATTCTGTTGCCGGCATGACCCTCGCAGAACACAGTGCACGCCACATGCGGCGCGCAGCACACAATGCACTTCTGCAGCTGCATCAAGCTGGGGATTGGGGTCAGTGAACGAATCCATTTGCAGCAACGGTGATGATACACATGAGCTTTAGCGCCACAGCTGATGATGTGTACGCAATTGTGGCCCACAATGCATGGCTCTGGCTCACGCTCTGCCACCTCAGCCAGTGCGGAATCAGTCCTTGGCCGAGTGCTCCGGTTTTGGTTTTGGCATGCATTGGCTGGACGCTTCATGATGTGCCCACAGCTGGTGAGCACACCTCACACAATCACCTCATTGAGCCCAAGCAATCGCCAATCAACTCTGTATGCACTCATGCAGAAACATCAACCAAACCAAAAATGTAGTAAGGCTAAGCCATGCCTCCACACCAAGATTCAAAACACGTCACTATCTGAACCTGCATTCCACACACGCGCGCGTCTCTTTTTGCATTCGCATACCACGTGGTCACAAATTCCTCTCAAACTTCAGGTTGACCTTCACCTGAATGAGCTTGGCAGGAATAGTTAGTCCATGCGCACGTGCAAGTCACGAACATGTTCACGGCGCCACGTTGGCTTGCCTTCCTGAGCCCTGGTGCTCAACAGGCAGTGGCTGCACACACGAACTTCTTGAAGCTTTGTGGACCCATACAGAGTTGCACATTGCTGGTCCACATGCACCACACCTGTGTCACGATGCACACGGAACAGGCAGGTGGGAACCTCCCACCTCAGGATCACATGTCGCTTCAGGCACATGTACCTGGTCACCAGCACCGTGGAAAGCACCACCAGCAGCACAATCACAATGATGCACAATGTAAGCAAGAGAAGTGCGTCCATCGCTGACACACCTACCAGGCTACAGTAGTCTCATCGCAATTGTGTTGCTCATAAGCTCTGAACCCTGACCGGACATTGCCCTTGATGATTGACAATTCAATTGCATATGGGCCAGGATGCAGAGGCACGCACACACATGGGTTGGCTGCAGCGTTGCAGGTTTCAACTTGCAATGTCTGACTGCCTCGCCTGAGCCTCACCTCCAAGTACCAAGATCATCAAGATGTTTGACGCACGCTCCAGTCTGACGCACATTTGGGCCGCCCACTCAGATAATCATCAGAGAAACCAGCAAGCTCCTGGGTTGAGCAACTGTGCAACATTCACACAAAGTCAGTCGGCAGTCTTTGTCCAGTCCTGCTCCTTGAATTTGAGTTGGACAATTGCTGGCACACCTCAACTCGATGGCAGGAACCGACAAACACGGCGCAGGCATGAAGCTTGTAAGCACACAAAGCTGCAAAACGTGTCTTGGCCAGCCTGGCCACTGACACCAGCCAAACCTGTCAGATTTGCTCCCAGAACGAAGGTGTGATTGCAACCAGAAGGCAAGCCAGTCCCTCGCAAAAGACACAATCAAGGCACGAGCCTGCGCAGCTCTTTGTGATTGAGCAGGAGCAGCCGGCAGCTTGCCCCACTCCTCTGCCCTGCCAACACTGCCAACGGCGCAGCCAGCAACAAGCATGCAGTTGAAATGCAAACACAATATGTCACATTCGAAACACATGTCACACCAAATGCAACACTTGTGCGCTTCTTTTTTTTCACCCATTCATTCGTGCTGAATCACGATGTGAGATGAGACCCATCAAAGCTTTTTCGCCTTTGGCGCTGCCTGCTTTGGCAAAGCCTTGGGCTTGGCTGCCGGCTCTGCCCGCTTTGCCTTTTCCTCTGACGGTTTGGCCTCCTTGGCCTCTGACAGCTTGGCCTCCTTGTTGGCTGCCTGCTGCAGCTCTGCCGGCTTTGGCTTTTCCTCTGACAGCTTGGCCTCCTTGGCCTTGGCTGCCTGCTGCAGTTCTGCCGGCTTTTGCTTTTCCTCTGACAGCTTGGCCTCCTTGGCCTTGGCTGCCGGCTTTGGCTTTTCCTCTGACGGCGCCTCCTTGGCCTGCTCCAGCTCTGCCGGCTTTGGCTTTTCCTCTGACGGCGCCTCCTTGGCCTGCTCCAGCTCTGCCAGCTTTGGCTTTTCCTCTGATGGCTTGGCCTCCTTGGCCTGCTCCAGCTCTGCCGCCCTTGGCTTTTCCTCTGACGGCTTGGCCTCCTTGGCCTGCTCCAGCTCTGCCGGCTTTGGCTTTTCCTCTGACGGCGCCTCTTTGGCCTGCTCCAGCTCTGCCAGCTTTGGCTTTTCCTCTGACTCTGCCCCCCTTGGCTTTTCCTCTGACGGCTTGGCCTCCTTGGCCTGCTCCAGCTCTGCCGCCTTTGGCTTTTCCTCTGACGCCTTGGCCTCCTTGTCCAGCTCTGCCGGCTTTGGCCTTTCCTCTGCCGGCTTTGGCTTTTCCTCTGACGGCTTGGCCTCCTTGGCCTTGTCTGCCTCTCCCACCTTTGGCTTTTCCTCTGACAGTTTGGCCTCCTTGGCCAGCTCTGCCTGCTCCAGCTCTGCCTTTTCCTCTGACGGTTTGGCCTCCTTGGCCTGCTCCAGCTCTGGCTTTTCCTCTGACGGCTTGGCCTCCTCCACAGCTTCGCCTGCTTGCTCAGGCTCCTGAACCTTTGGCGCCTCATGGATCAGCTGCTGCCCCTTCTCCTTTGGCTCCTTGTCCAGGCAAACAGAAACATGAGCATCATTGGTTGCTTGCAACAACTCAAAAGTATCAGGCAAGGCCTGTTTCCTACCCCAGCTCAGTTTACACACCCTGCCTCCGCCTGGGCCTCTCGCTCAGCCAAGAACAGGAGAAGCTCGTCCATCGGCGGCGAGCGTTTCCCCTGATCCTTGGAATCCATTTGCATGGCCTGCAAGACCCTGTGACCATGCTCATCTTTCTCAAGAATGATGTGCGTCTTGAAGCCCAGGCAATCCCCATTGGCACCGATGGCTTCTGCAAAGACCGTCCCTGCAGGCACATACCTCATGGTTTGAAGCCAATCATAGCGAGTCAAGGGTGGAGAAGCAGCAAAGAAAAAATGAAACAAAATACATGTCTGGATATGTCTGGCAAGGCACAGTGTCTGGTTCTGCATGACATCCCCGAACCAAATCTGCCCTGGGTGTGCGCTCGTAAACCCATCCAAAGCCTCCTGGCCAGCATGCGTGAGCCAAGCCACAGCAGAAGCATGAGAGATGCTGCCACCATCGCCGCCGTCCTCACTCCTTGCAGCCTCTTCCCGGAGAAAGTCCAGAACAAGCTGCGCAGACACCAAAACAACTCGCCGGTGGCTCTGACAGCCAAAGCGCAGAGTTGCCATGGCGCCTGACTCAAACCTGACCGAGCGGTGCCCATTGATGACACCATAGCAGGAGCTCACCATCAGCTGCTTCAGCGCAGGATACTTTGCGCGAGTGACATTTCCAGCCTGCCACACGCTGCCAAAGTTGGCACCACTGCTCTTGGCCACCAACTTGAACAGCTCACATCGGACATACTGCTCACATTGTTGGCCACATGGCAGCTGCGCCTTGCCAGCCACCGTCCGCAAATCACTCTTCCCAAAGCTGATCTTGAACTCGCGAAGGCAGTCCGCTGCATGCTTCTGCTCCTCTGACATGCCCTCACGCGAGGGGCCTGTCACTTCAGACAAAGAGCTGGGGCCGGTGAAGACAAAGGGGCGGTTAGCAGGGTGGCCCTCTGGCAGCTCCTCACCAGTCGGGATGGTCTCGCAGGAGGAGCCCATGCTGTCAGCAATCTCAAACACCTGATAGGGCGCAGCAACATCCTTCTGCTTCTTGCCTCCTCCCCTCTTCTTTGGCGCTGCCTTAGGTGCGCCTGACTTGTCTGCTTTCTTCAGCTCCTGCAAAGACACCCTGCATGAAGCCAGCAACTCATCCCAGTGGCAGGTGACAGTCTTGACGCGCTTCCAATTCGATGCGAGCTCATCTGCGGTCGCCACTTTGGCAAAGAGGCTGTTCATGTCCTTGAACTGCGCCATGGTGTGCAAGGACTCATGGTTGTTGCATGGGCTGCCAAGCACGCCGACTGCCACCTCCGACGCTGAGCCATGTGAGTTGACGCTGCAGCAATCCTTTGCCTTCTGCCTGATCCCCAAGCAATACTGCGTGAAAGACGCTGGCGATCCCTGACTTATCTGCTCAAGGCACTCCATGCGGCTGGAGCATATCAAGATTTCTGTCTTGACCTTGTCCCCGCCGCAGCCACGGCTCAGGTCGATCTGCACTTTCATGGCACTAAGTTGCGCCTGTATCTTGCCCTGGTACTTCTGCACCGTCTCATCAAACATCCGGCTGGCCTTGGCGCTCTGCTGAGCTGTGTCAAACCAACCAGTGCTTTTCTCCCTCTTTTTCTCAGCATCGCTCTCCTCACCAGTACCTGCCTCCTCTGTCTCAGCCCGCCGTGGCTTCTTGGCCAAGTCTCGCACATTGTCAAGCATGAAGCTGGGGCGATCGTCGCTGCATCCGCTAAACACAGCACTTGCATTTGCCTCTACAGCTGACGCCATGCGCTTGTTGGACTCCCGGCCAGTCAAGACTAGGCTCTCTGCCTGGCAGGATGAGATTAGCAATTAAGTTGCCACGCCCCAAAAAAATGGTTGGTACTGGCAAAAGAACAAAACCTCTAGAGCGTGTTTCCCTTTCAACCACAAGGTCAAATCCCTTGCTCAGAAACCACAACATCCTTGACTCGGAAATGCAACACTCTGCCTTGGCATTGAACTGCTCCTCGCTCATCCTGGCCAGCTTCTGCTCACGGTTCATCTGACATGTGCGGGAAAGATCTTCGTAGTCCACCAGGTCTTGGTGCACCAGCACAGCGCACTTTGGCTTATCATCCTCCTCCACCTTAAAGACCGACGGGTCCTTCAGCATCTCATTCCACTTCTTCTCAGCCTGATACTTTGTGAGGTCACCGCCCTCCTCTGTCTGCGCAAAGCGGATGTAGACTCCTCAGGAATGATTATTCAACAGTTGCCATTGGCTAACTAATAGTTTCCCTTGCGTTGAAACTGCCAAAGTTGAGGTGCCAAAGAATTATTTCTGGAAACCCAGCTCCTTCACTCATCAACCGCTTGCGGCCTTCAAGCCGCGTGCCAGCTTGGGCCTGCACTGACTCCCGGTAGCTCGTGAGCGAGAACTTGATCTTCGCCTTTTCCCGCATAGCCTGATCGTGCGACTTCCCATATGCCTTCAAAAGGTCGCACAGCTCGCCCTCAGTGAGGCCCTTGAACCACTCAGCCTCCCCCTGCCTGTTCGCCATCCCCTTTATGCTTCTGAAAGCATTGAAGCAGAACTTGCACTTTGAGTGGCTCTGGTGGAACTCTTCTAAGGGGAGTTTTTTTTTGCACCCCTGGCATCGCTTGACCTCCAGATCTGCCATGGGGTAGCCTCTGCCCTCCTCAGGATCTGGCTTTTGCTGCAGCCTTCTTGCAGCCGTTTTTGGCTTCTTCTTGGCCGGCTCAGGCAGCAAGTCAGACATGCCATCCCCGTCACAAACCAACATGGCAATGCTGAAAAAAAAGACAGGGACCCTGCTGGCCCCACACGGCTGCGCAAGGCAAACTGGCATGACAACTATCATGCGCAGGACACTGCTGCAACTGGCATGCAAAGGACACTGTGGCTGCACGCCTCGTAAGATCTTCCAACCTTCCTCCACCAGCAGCCACCTGCAGACCAAGGGCTGCCGCATGAGTGTCACATCAAGTTTGCAAGTGCCAGTGTGACCTGATGTGCGCATTTTTCAATTGGACTGCGTGTCCTCAAAATACAAAGTCTCGCCATCAACCTGTGTTTCTGCCACAGGGGCTGCCGCACTAGACGCAGCTGCTGCACTAGATGCCCCCAAACGTGAAACTGCAGCAGGCTGCACAGGCACCAAGAAGCCCAGAGCAAACGCCAAAGCAGCGCCTAGACATTGTAGATTCATGCCATTGCCAGCCATGCGGGTCCACTGCACGTGGCTCAGCTTGTCGCTGAAGAGGAGAGCGCGAAAATGGCACTTGAAAGGGGTGTCAACAAAGATCGGCCAGCCTTGCACTCCCAGCATTTCATGGTGGAGCAGAAGCCTCTGCTTGCTTACGCAAAACATCGCAGAATGTGTGGTCAGGGCTGGCACTTTTGTCACAAAGGGACACCTTTCAGGTGTCTGGGTCACATTCATAATGCATTGCTTCTTGGCCTCGCTGGTCAACTCCTCTGACTTTCGCAGCGCCTCCTCCCACACACGCAGGCGCTCGCGAGTCCCTGACGACATGAGTTGTTTGCTTTTCCAGCTTCCTTCATCCAGTCGGCGCCCAAGCCCTTTCCTGTCAGCCCACCGTTGATGCTCATCCTGAACAACATCAGCAGGGGCCTCCCACAAAATCATGCCTGGCAAGTGACAACGACCACCAAAAAGCCTGAGAAGCAGCTCCTGGTGCTGGTCTGAAGCTGCTGCGTCGTGCAGTCTGTAGCGGGATGCCTTGAAAAGGATCATGTACTGCCTGTGGCGAGTACAAGGCACGCCCAGCTGGTCAGGTGACAAACACACTGCAGCCAGTGTATACTCACGAGCAAAGATCAGCTCCAGCTCTTCTGCAGGGAAAGGTTGCACGTTCTCAACCACAACCACATCCGGCCGGCACAGAATTTGCTCCCTCACCCAGCACGCAAACGGCACCATACTGTCCCCCAGCCATTGCATGCCATTGCCGAGAACAGACCAGTCAATGCAGCTCGGCCCTGCCACATGAAGTTGCAAAGCCTTTGGCCTCACCGGCTTAAGGAAGATGCACATGTCCTTGTGCTTGCTGCAAAATGCAGTGCTGCTTAATTGTTTGTCAAGCTCCCCCTCGCCCAACTCCCACAAAGGATCAAAGATGTCCCTTGTCATCTCCTTGATCATGTCCCTGCCAATCTGGCTGATGTGCTGCCGGCCTATCTTCTTGTACGAAGCCCTCAAATTCTCCAGCCGCTTCCTGTAAACATCCAGCTTCTGCTGCACTTGCCTCAGACAGGCAAAACATGATTCTGCAACACAAACAAATTTCCATGCACAGCAACCCAAACCCTAAGACTGCAAACAAGAAGTGAATAAAGCAACAAAACACACACTAGCTCACAATCAACCCCGTCCTTGAAAAAACCCACTGCAGCAAAACAACTACTACCGCTCCGCCCAGGCACTGCAAAAAAGTTGAGGGGCAGCGATCCACCAGGTTGTTGAAAACACAGGTAGGCCCATGGCCATCAAGGCTGAGCAGCACTTCTCGGCACGCTTCATCTGAGTCACTGGCCCGCGTGCACAGAATTGCATCATGCCCTGTCATCAAACCACGCCTGTCCAGCGCCTCCTTCAGCCACTGGATGACAGCTTCAGGAGACCCGAGGCCAGAATATGCAGTGGACAAATCAATCTGCTGGTGGAACTTCCCAAGCATCATGTCCATGGGCAAAGGCTCCGATACAAACATCCTCATCTGCTGCACATACCGGGCAGGCCAAGTGAACACATCTTCATGTTTTTCAGCCCCGATGTCACCCAGCAAGAAAGAGCTCCTCAGGATTGACTCCCCAAAGTCTTCTGCGAGCCTTCGCTTCACTGGCAAGATCACCGATGCCATGGCACATGCCAAACCAGTTGTCAAGAACTGTTTTCTCACCTGCAACAGCCTGCAAACCTTGCTTGCGCACATGACTTCACCTTCCAATCAGCCACATGATCACTCACACAGCCACTCAGGTCCAAAAATGCCAGCGGCAAAGCATATGCACTGAGTTGCAGCCGCTCAGACCAACATATGAAGCAAAACTGCCAAGAACAAAGAAAACCCACCAGAACCGCGACCGCAAAGCCCAAAATCCTGCCTCAGTACATGTGGGCCTAGGCCGCAAACACATGAACGCCAAAGAAATGGACATGGTGAGCATGTGTGCCTAGCCACCCCAGGTTTATACAAGGAGTTGCCACAAAACTAGTCTCTGTGCTCGCCAGGCGCTCGCCAGGCGCTCGCCAGGCGCTCGCCAGGCGTTCGCCAGGTGTTCGGCAGTTGTTCGGCAGTTGTTCGGCAGTTGTTCGCCAGTTGTTCGCCAGGTGTTCGCTAGGTGTTCGTCAGCTGTTCGCCAGGTGTCCAGAGCACTTTTTTGCAAAATCAGAGCTTCCTACAGCACAAACACCAAATAATGTAGGGCAAAGTGCTGCAACTTGGGTGAAATTTCAGATTGAAATCATGGGATTTGCTTGGAATCATCTTGAAATTGTGAGATTTGCCCTGATATTCCATCATTTGTCTTGGATGTTCTTGATTTTCTTTTTGTCATTGCACAAATCATGAAAACACACACCCATGCACAGAATATGGGAGGCTGATTAGCATCTTGGAGGCTGGTGTGCAATTGCCCACCTGAAAGCCTGTGTTGCCCAAGTATTCTCTCTAAGTACACCAGAGGAACCCACACATTCCACGAGCACAAGTCAGGATCAAGGCCCACACTGTGGAGCTGGACGCTGCTAGCCACCACGCCAAGTTCCCAGCCTTAGACTTCAAGAGATTGGGAGCATTGAGGGCTGCAAGATCTCAGACAACGGCAGGGCGCCCAACACGGGTGCTTGGCAACTTGTCAGCAGCCTCTGCATCTGTCACCCAATCCTGGCAATTCATTTCTGGGCAACCCCAAACCCTAAGCCAAGACACACAGAAACAAACACAACAGTCCTCCACGCAAAGTTTGCAATCCTCCCAACGCTGGGCGCCAAACCTAGCGAACACAGAAAGGAAAAGCGTTCACGGCCAAGTGCAAAGCTGAGGCCAGAGCCAGGGCTGCAAAGCCAGGGCTGCAAAGCCTGAGAGAAGAGAGCAAGCGAAACAAGCCTTCAAGCCACAACATGACACAAAAGCATTGCATCGCGCTGCGCAAGCACTCTCTGCACTGTCATATGTTTTCACTGACTCAAGAGCTGTTGCAGGCTAATGCACTGCAAAGTGAGCTGCTATCTAAACGATGCGGCAGCTTCTATGAAGCGCCATAACTCTGACTACTGCCAAGCCATGCCAAGTGGGCCAGCTGAAATCGTTTACGTATTTGTTGAATGACTGGTCAGATTAATTGCAGGCGATGCCAAGTGGGCCCAAAATCTTTTACGCGCTTGTTGCGTGACTGGTCAAATTGATTGCAGGGCTGGTAGGCTCACAACAGGCTGGCAGCAGTCATTGACAAAAAAAAGCAGGCGCTGCATCATCCTACCACCACCACCACCCATGCCTCTGCCACCAGTCATCACCCTGCCAGGTGCGCCAGTTCCAATCTTCCTCCTTCACCTCTGGCTGCCACTCTGGCTCTGGCTGTTCTGTCGGTGTGTGGGGATCTTCTCCATCCTTCTCCTCAGACTCTGTTGTCCCGCTCTCAACATCTGACACTTCCTCTGGCAGCTGCACCGTGGCGGCAGCTTGGGCTGGGCCAGCCAACTCTATCACCACCTGCCTCCGCCCAACACTGATCTGCTGCTCCTTCTCCGACTCCCCCGTGGCCGTGAACTTGATGATCAGCCTGTCCGCTTCAACAACAAGCACGTTCTTCTTCTTCGCTGGCTCACACGATCCTGCCAGCTTCACCCTCACTCCTGCCTGCACTTCCTTCTCTGCCTTCATGCCCTTCTCCTCTGCCTGCTGTTCTGCCTTCGGGCACTTCTCCACGTTCTCTACATTCTCCACCTTCTTCGCATTCTCCACAAACTCTGCCTTCACCTCCTTCACCTTCTCCTTCGTCTTCACCTTCTCCGCCTTCTCTGCCTCCTCTGCCTTCTCCGCCTTCTCCATCTTCTCGGCCTGTTCGGCCTTCTTCTCTGCCTTCTCCGCCTTCTCGGCCTTCTCGGCCTTCTTATCGGCCTTCTTATCGGCCTTCTTCTCCACCACCTCGGTCTTCTTCCCCTCAGGCACGTTCGGCTTCAACACCTTGCAAGGCTTCTCCTTCCTCCTCTTCTTCTCCACCTTCTCCGGTGTCTGCAACCACCGGCCTGCTCTTGGGCGGTGGGCAGGGCGTCAGCCAGAATGACCTCGCCACCACCGCAGCCTTTGCCTTTGAGAAGGCCCCATCGTGATGCTGGGCCCGGCCAACCCCCTGCGCCTTCCATTTGTGATCAACCTGCTCCGGCTGCCCCACGCCACCGCCACTGGCTGCCCCACCGCCACCGGCTGCCCCACCGCCACCGTCTGCCCCACCGCAACGCTTCCTTTCAAGCGTGGCCGCTTGACCGGCGCCTCCACTTCTATCTCTTCAAGCTCTTCCTCCATCATGATGCAACACTGAGCCAAAAAAGCTACACATCAAGAAACCTCTCAAACAACGTCAGACACACATGTCATCAGTCAGGATTGAATTTCAGGCCCTGGCCAACTGCAC